ACTCGCCTCCCAAATCCCAACCGTAGAGTTGCCTCTCAGTGGATTTTAGCATCAGAGCCTCCATTGCAATGTCTGGTACTGGTAGTTTAGTGTCAAGGGCAGCTGCTTGACCCTGGAGTTGCCCCCTTGTTAGCTTTCCTCTTCTCCCACAGTCCCAGACAGACCTCGTTCCCAGGTGCAGGCCCAGCCATAGCTACTCTGACTTACCTCCCTTGAGAAGCCCCTGCCACCCTGAATAGGGCAATCTGGGCTCTGCATTCTCTGCCTAGCCCCAGTCACATACTTGTCAGCTGCCTAGAAGACAGCAGCCCCTACCACCAACTTTGAGCTGCCCGTTTCAGGAACCAGGCCATTGGTGGGCACTCCCAGACTAGGTTGTGGTGTCCTGGGGCAGTTTTCCTCACTTGTGACTAACAGGTTCTTCAGGCTAGGTCCAGATGGTGCTCCTCTGTCATGAAGCAGGGTAGGCTACATCTCGGGCTCATGAAGGTCTTCTGGGTACTGAGGGAACTACCTGGTGCTCTTCATACCTGGGATACTACGCAGCTGTACCTCATATGGCCAGCAGAGGGCATGCTGCTCCATGAGACTACCTAGCTCCTCTGGTCACTCAGTGAGTCAAGAAGGTTCCTGCAGGAGCCTCTTAGCCCTCAGAACTATTGTCTTGGTAGCCACAACTTTGGCTAGCATGCCACCAGGAAGTGATGGTTAGAGGTGTCCAGCATGGCTAGTTTGCTCCAGGGAAGCATCGACTGGAAGTCTGTGGAGCTGTTCTTAGCAATGTCCAGAGTCCCTGGGACCCATATCCCTGATTCTTTAAAGCAAGCTACAGGGGACTCTAGTCAAGACTGGCCTTCCAGAGAGGGCCTACAGGGGGAGATGAAACAGTGCCACGCCAAGTCCTCTATCAGTGTCCCAGGCCTTTCCTCTTTCTCATGGCCTGTGAGGAGATGCCTGCCTGTATCCATGTTCCCAGAAGGCCTGTGGTGGAGAGACCTGGCCCGCCCTGAGCTCATCCTTCTCAACAGAGACACTACACACAGTACCAGGGCTTCGTGGTCATCCATGGCACAGACACGATGGCCTTCGCTGCCTCGGTCCTTTCTTTCATGCTGGAAAACCTGCAGAAGCCTGTCATCCTCACCGGTGCCCAGGTAACATGTCCCGTGGTTCTCAGTCCTCAGAGTCACAGGGCAGGCCTTGGCCAGCCCTGGGCTTCTTGCTGGGGGAAGCTGTTTCCAGTACTGCTGTGTGCTGCCAATTAGGTGTCTAGCACTTTACGTGGTGGCCCTACCTGGCCACTTCACTCCTGCTGAGCTCCTACCTTCCCTGAGGCTCGGGACCCATAGGCTCCTGGAGGTCTGGTCCATCGAGGTTCAGGAGTACCGGGAACCTAGCCCCTTACAGCTCCACCACGCGGGGCTTTCTTCCTTTCCTTCTCTCTTCTCTCTCTTGGGCTTGTGTCTGCCAGCACCTAAGACTCAGCATAGTAGACCACATAGTAGGTGGGGAGAGACTCCTGCATCCCCGTCTTGTTCCTCTTCTCTCTAATGCTGGCCCTAGCCACTCTCATATATGACATCCCTTCCTCTCGCCCTAACCTAATTGTACCCTTCCCCAAACCACAGTCAGTGGAATGGTGCGGAAAACGACTCTGTTTGAGTAAAGGTTGGCTTGGGCTTCTTGGGCTTACGGATAACCATTGGAGCAATCCTACACAAGCCCTTTAGAACCCCCATGGGGCAGAGGCCAAGGCCTATGTACAGGAAGCCAGCACCTGGGTGCCTGTGAGCACAACCTGGGGGAAGCTCCACCAGGCAGGAGTGGTGGCTCAGTCTCTCCCATTTCCCAGAGAATCACATAGCACAGTAGCCCTACTCTGGGAAGGTCCATGACAGAGCATCCCTAACCCTTATTATTCCCAGGGGCAAACTGAGGTGCAGTCCATAGGTTCTCCCAAACTTGTGCACTATAGGAGGTGCCTCTCTCCAGAGGCCCTGTCTGCACCAACAACTCCTGGCTGACCCTTCTTCAGCCAGAGTCTCTTGAAGACCTTGGCCTCTGCGTATCCCTCAGCAGTCCTGCCCACTTGTTCCTCTTGGGCATTGCCCAGCCACTCCCAGCACAGTCTGTGGTGTACTTAGGCAGTGGAGGGACAAGCCAGACTACCCTGCGTGCCTCAGGAAGGACGTTCCACTGCAGCCCACCTAGCTGCTGCCCTGGGCCCCCTGCCTGGCTCATAGCTCTTGGGAGAGTGAGGGAGCTGGGCTTTGCAGCCCTGTGGACTGGGGACCAGAACCGGACCTGGGTGCCTGCTGGTCACTTCACTTCTGTGAGAGCCAAATGGAGAGGTTCAGGTGCCCAGTGCAGGTTGACATTGTCAGAAGGAATGCTGGTGGTTACCAGCCTTGGGAGTCGGCTAACTCCCCGAAGACCCCACTTCTCAGCCCATGCCTGCTTCAGCTCCTCTCCCTGCCTGAGCCCAAGGGGTTTGTCCAGAGTGGGGGAGCTGGGTATGCCCTGGCTTCCCAGGCCTCAGGCACCCCTCTGGCCTCTCCCCAGGTACCTATCCATGCACTGTGGAACGATGGCCGTGAGAACCTGCTGGGGGCCCTGCTCATGGCTGGCCAGTACATCATTCCTGAGGTATCTGGCCTGGCTACATGGGTGGCCTGGGTGGAAGGAGAATGCGGAAGAGCTGGCTTGTGGTTGTGGCCCATATTGGGATGGCCCCACAGAGCAGAGGTTGGAATAGTCTTTAAAACCCTTGTCCCTTACCTTACAAATAAAACAACTGTGACAAGCCTGGAGCTATCAAAGCCAAGGAAGGAAAAGCTGTCCCTGCCGCCGCCCCTGCCAGCAGCCAGGTTCTGTGTTGTAGAGACAGTTGTGTTACACACCTGCAACAGTCCGTGAAAATGGGCTGCGCCCACTTTAGGTTTGGAGTCTGTTGTGCCCTCCTCATGGGCTCCCTTTCTCACCCGGCAGAACGGGAAGAAAGACAGGTGTATCCCTCACAGGCCAGTGGGAGCCACTCTGTCTGTAGCAGTCCCGGAGACCCGTGGTGTTAGGGTTAGGTGTTATGAAAGAACAGCAGGCCGGTCAAAGGTCGCCCCCAACCTCCTTCAGCCTAGAGGAGTCACTGGCTCCTTGTCACATGGTCTGAGCTCACCAGCACCAATGGGGAAGCATTGGCAGGATAGCCAGGGTTTCCTGCAGCCGTCTGTGCCTTCAGTGCCCTAATCTAACTGGGGCCCTCACTGGGTGGGTATCGGCAAGAAGGTTTGGTGTGTTGATGGTGGAGGGGTTGGGGGGAGCTGGAGTATGTCGTGGGGGGCCAGTTCTCAGTTGCTGCCTTGCCCTACACAGGTGTGCCTATTCTTCCAGAATCAACTCTTCCGGGGCAATCGGACAACCAAGGTGGATGCTCGGAGGTTCGCAGCCTTCTGCTCCCCCAACTTGCCCCCTCTGGCCACTGTGGGTGCCGATGTCACAAGTAAGAGGATCTGAAAGCAGGGCCTGCTGGCTGAGAGTAAGAAGGGGGCCCTGGGTTCTTGTGTGGAGGTGAGAGACCTCCATGGTGAACATAGGCTCAGAGCTGGGGGGGGGGTCCAGCTCTTGTGGGTTCTGTCCCACGCATGGCCTCCAGCTGGGAAGTTCCTCTTTGTGACAGCCTGTGGCTCTGCTGCACACACTGGCCCTTCTCAGAACCTAGCTTTTTGTGGTATGACACAGCTCTTAGGAGTCAGTCCCAGAGGGTTCGGGTCCTGGAGCTTCCGTAAGGGCTTAGCAACTCCTTACCCTAATGAAAACGTCAGGCCTTAACTCTAGTGGCCCCAGCTTTTCCATCTTGGATATCAAGAGCCTCTGTCTCTCTGAACTCAGGGCAGCTGCCTCCTGGTCCTTTGGGCCTGTGCTGTCCAGGTGTAGTGGAGGCTTGTTGATCCTGGGGCAGGTGCATCACTGCCTACTGGTACCTGGTTCTTGAGTACCTGCCTGCCTAGCAACAGCTACAAGCCCAGGTTCTGGTTCCTGACCTACTGTGTGTGGAGTTCTAGCCTAAGACCTGTCTTGTAAGGCTCTTACAAGCCTTACAAGGGCAGAGCTTGCACCTAGTAGGACCGGCTCTGTGTGCATGGTAAGGTCCAGCTGCTAGTCTATAGTCAGCTCTGTTGTCTGACAGGATGATTGGCAGTGTCCCAGCTCTCTAGGAGGGCGGAGGCAGCTCTCACCCACACTATGCTTCTGCCTGGGCACAGCAGGTCCTGTGGGTGGGACACAGCATTGCTGGGACCTGCAAGTGTCTGTTCTTGGTACTCTTCCTGTACATCAGGAGCTGTCCCAGGTTCAGGAGGAGTAGAACCTCCAGAGAGGGCAGGGCTACTTCCTAAAAGCCTCCTCTCCCCCTCCCAGACAGAGCTCCAGGGGCTCAGCTCATCCTAGTTTCCCACCTGCATGTCCTTTTCTGCCACTCACCAAGGATCTTCTAGGCCATGAACAACCCCAGGCCTGTGCTCCAGGGGCTCTGAGGTGGCAGAGGTCCACTTGTCATCTGGGGGCTGGACCTGTTGAAGCCTCGTTGGAAGAGCCTGCTTTAAATGGTGCTTGTGTTGGTCTGGCTATTGGCCCATGCAGGGTGGTGACATAGTGGCCCAGGGAGGGGGAGCAATGAATATGGACACTGCCCTGAAGCTCAGCTCTCCAAGCCTGAGTCACTCCTTATCCAGGCTCAGGATTGGAGCGTCTCCTGTGGGCAGAGAGGCCTTCACCCTGAATCTAAAAGCCTGTGCCATGCTGGGACACCTGGGCTGCAAGCCCAGCCCAGTAGTAGCTTCCCTAGCCCAGAGCTGAGGCTCACCCGCGGTGCCAACCCAATATCCTGATGTACTATTCTGCATGTGTGGGTGTGTGAGAACCTGCACCTCGCCTTCTTGCTATTGTCAGGCTGCCCAGCCGGTTCTGACATCTCATGTTGAGAAATCTGGGGTTCTGCTCAGGGTGTGGCTGCTGGGGCCCTGGGGAGGGGTACTGGGGCTCCTGCCAGCCATCCCCAGGGCAGGGCCCTGATGATCTATGGGCCTCTCACAGGGTGCCACTGACTCCTCATTTACCTTCTGGGACATGAGGGGGCCAGGGGACCATCCCTGGTGATAAACAAGATGGAGGCTACAGCTGCCCGGTCTGCTCTGCACTGTCACAGGGACACTGCACAGGCACAGCTAGGTCTTGCTGGCCCTGCTTGTTCCTGTGTATCTATCTATGCCAACCACCCCCTCCCGCCCCCGTCCTTAGCCCTGGCTTCTTCCTTCAGCTCTGTCTCTGCTAGGAAGGCCTCCCAGTCCACCAAAGTAGAGGAGCTGAGGGAGTCGTCCCTCCTGCTGCAAACATGCCCCTTGATCTTGTTACACACTAGCTTGGGGTCTTGTGCCGTGCCTTTGACACACAGACACATGGAACTCAGTGCCCTTCTCTGTACATGGGAGCTCCCTGCCTCCCAGAAGTAGCCCGGCCACCTGGAATCCTAAGGCTAAGGACAGACTTGACTACCAGGTTCGGCCTCTCAGCCTAGAGCACAGCAGGGGCTATTAAAGGGCTGAGATGGCAGCTAGGTTGAGTCATTGATGCCTTCCCCTTTATGTCTCAGAGTCCCTGTGGGGAGGACTTAAATATTCTAGGAGAGACTTCCTGGCTCATAAGGAGGGTGGCTGTCGGTGGGTGGTCCTTTGTCTCTGTGCAACCCTCCTCTGCAGCCATAACTCTTCTGGTGGCAACCAACCCCTACCCCCAGCCTTATCTGTCGGCCCAGCTGAGATGCACGGCTCTAAATTAAAGGAAATCTCACACTGCCATTGTGTTAGCTGATAGATATTATAGCCGGTAGGGTGGGTAATCACTGCTTTTGAGGAGCCTGCTCCCTCTCCTGCCCCCCCCCCATACCTTACCCTTCAGTATGTGTCCAGACTATTGTCCTATTGGTTATCACATGTGACTGCTCTGGCAGACATATGCTGACCCATAATTCCTACTGTTCTCTTCCTTCTCCTGGCCTGGGATTCTGCCACTACCCAGCTTGGGTGTGGAAGGGATGGTGGGCACTGCTAGGCCCCTGGAATCTGGGGGTAAATGAGATGGAGGCTTTCTTTGAAGGTGTATGTTGAGAGGATCAATTAGATTACTGGGTAGGCAGTCCCCAGTACCCAGTGAGAGGGCAACAGCTAGGCTGTCTGTCAGAGGATTTGGCCTGGACTTCCTCTGGGACCAGCAGACTGCTGCTCCAGCCTTAGCGCATGCCGGTCCCTTAGCCCGGAACAGCTCTTTGTTCTTCAGCGTAGTCTGGCTTGCCTGTGAGTTGTCCTTCGCCCTGGCTTCCCTCAGCCATGGTCCCCAGCCCTCAGCCCCATCACCCTTGTTCACCACCAGTATCACCACTGCTTGGCCATTGCTCTTTCTCCTTACACCGCTGCCCAGGCCATGGGCTTGCCACGGGGCCTGGCATCGGCCTGAGGGAGACCAGGCCTGAAAGGGTTTGATTCCTGGAGGGAGGATGAGCAGAGGGTGGGCATCTCAGCTGCCTGTGACCTGCAGCTGCAACACTCCTCTCTGCCCTCAGTTAACCGCGAACTGGTTCAGAAGGCCAGCGGGAAGGACCGTCTGGTGGTGCACAGCACCATGGAGCGTGACGTGGGCCTGCTGCGCCTCTACCCTGGGATTCCCGCCTCCCTGGTAGGAATTCTCTCACGCCTCCTTCCTATTCTCTCATGCCTCCTGGGGCTCCTGGGGCTCTAGACTCCCTCCCTCTGTCCCAGGCCTTTCTTGGGCCAAGGGCCAAGGTCTGTAAAAACATGACAGCCTACCCATGTGGGCACCTTTCTTTCTCAGCTGGGCTAGGCTCTTCTGGGGCAGAAGTCTAGCCTGCTTGAAGGTGCAAGGCTGGGCATCTTCGCCGAATGTAGGCTTGTTTGTGTGGACACTTGAGGGTGCCTGTGAACACCCGTGGGAGTGGCCCCGGGACTCTGCTTCCTGCTGTTGCTGTTTTCTTTTCAGACAGGGTCTTAGTATGTAGCCCAGGCTGGCCTGTGTCTGACTTCTCCCTCCTCCCATTGCTGGATCTCTGCCTCTTCTCGTCATATCTTTGGCCCTCCCTTGCTTCCTGTCTTCCACCTCTTGCTTGGTACCGGCTGTTTCTGTGGTGACTGGTGCTTCCCTTACCTGTTATTCAAGATGCTGGGCGGACACAGAACTGTCCTTTGTCCTTTGAATGAAGCTATCCAGCCTGGGGAGGCTGGGCAGGGAGGGCCCTGTCTGAGGGCCTCCAAGTGTTAGGAGCCCGCCCTGCTTCTTCAGGCCAATACTGGAGGGGTGGGGGGGATATCAAGGCTCAGCTCTCCTCACAGTCAAAGAGACCCAGGCTACCCTGAGAGGGAATTCAGACAGTTGGGAAGCTAGGACAAGCCCTGCTGTTCTTGCCAGCTAGCAATCCCCCAACCCGAGTCCTACCTACACAGGTTCGGACCTTCCTGCAGCCCCCACTGAAAGGTGTGGTCATGGAGACCTTTGGCTCTGGGAATGGGCCCACCAATCCAGACCTGCTTCGTGAGCTGCGGGAGGCAGCTGAACAAGGCCTGATCATTGTCAACTGTACCCACTGCCTTCAGGGGGCTGTGACTTCGGACTATGCATCTGGCATGGTAGGGGCAGAAAATGGGCTCGGAGAACGGTAGTGCCATGGTATGTGCATCTGGATTCTGTTTCCCCTGAGCCAGGCTCCTTTTCTGGCCTGTTTGTACCTCCCACAGGCCATGGCAGGAGCTGGCATTGTCTCAGGATTCGACATGACATCGGAGGCTGCCCTGGCCAAACTGTCCTATGTGCTAGGCCAACCAGGGCTGACCCTGGATGACAGGAAGAAGGTGTGTGCACCCTTGGGACTATTGCACGGATTTAGAACATGTCTGTGTGCATATCCATGCCTGCTGACTCCTGAGGCCTCCTGGGAGGGCCAGAAGGAGTACTTGTGTCTATGTTTTAGAAGTGGAAGGGAAATTCCCGTGGGAAGTCAGGGCCACGGCTGACAGTTCATCCAGGCCATATCCGTGTCCTTCTCTGGGGAGCCTTGGGGACTGGGTACCAGTTTAGCACCCCCTGAACTGCTCCTGACATCCTGTCCCTGCTTCCTCCTTTCCAGGTGGGACTCAGACCCACAGGGCTCCAGGCCCATAGGCCTCCAGACCCTGGTTGAGGGCTTAAGAAACCCTGAGCTTGTAGGGAGGAAGGCAGCGTTAGCCTACTTGGGGGATTGGTGGGGTCACACTAAGTAAGCCCTTGTGTGGTGGAACACTGAAGTGGCGTGTCAGTCCTGTGGGTCTCCCTGCCCTGGGAATTCATGTCCTCTCAGTTGGTCAGGACTCCATGGTCCTGGCTAAATCCTCCAGCCTTTTATCCTATTCTAGCTGCTAGCCAAGAATCTTCGCGGGGAGATGACGCTGCCCATGACAGATGAGCACCAGCCCTGGCTGCAAGATGGCATACTGGGTCGCAGGGTAGCATGGCTTCTCAGTCGGAATGGCAGTCAGGTACTGGCTGCAGTGCTTGGGAGTGGCCTGAACTCCCGCACGGGATGCAGGGCCCACCATCCACTGCCACTGTCACTCTGGCACAGAAGGACTGGGGTGGGTGGTGAAGACTTGGAAGGATCATAGGGCAGAGTTGGGGAAGGGACCGGTCTGTTGTGTGGAGATCAGAGATAGGGACACCAGCAGGGGCATATCCATCCTGGCTTGGACCTCAGACTGGGGTGAGCACCCAGCAAGATGGGGGTGCTATCTGCCCTGGGTGTTGAGTAGTCAGGGCTGACTGGGGTCTCTTCAAGACTTTGAGCTGGGGGTTCTAAGCCTCACACTTCCACCTTTCAGTGTAGTCTAATCTCCAAGCTTCCCTCTGCCCTCACTATTTGAGTGTCCAGACCTTGGAGAGGTGGGGCAGCTGAGGGCCTGGAAGCCCAGCAAGTGGCCCCTGCAAAGCTGTCTTATGAGCCAGCTGGTTAATTGCTCCATGCTGGCTGTGGGTGGTGGCCTGTCATTAGGGTGGCTGTGTGAGGTTCCTAATCCCTCTAGGGCCCAGCTGGCCAGAGGCTGATCACAAGGCAGTGATTAAGCCAGCCATGGACGCTGGACAAAGTGGCACTTTGAAGGTTTTCTGGGACCTTGGAGAGCCCCTGTGCAGCTGGGTGCTAGGGCAGTAGTCCTTCCAGGAATGTGATACCTGTGCACTCAGGCCCTTTTGATGTGTGTGTGTGGGGGGGGGCAGGGCAGAAGGCTGCACCGTTTCCCATGTTCCCTCAAGGAATGACTTGAGATTGTCATCCTGTCAGCAGTGGAGGCAGAAAATGAAACAGGCATGGGGGGGGGGGTCAGTGGCAGGTTGTAGCCTGGTGACCTGGCCTTTGTTTCCAGGGCATGGGGACAGGTGGACTTGTGGGTGGGCATGGAGGCTTCTGCCAGAGGCCTCCCGTGGTGCGGTTCTGGCACTCTCCTCCTCTAGTGAGACACCTGCCCCACTGTGGGGGGACCCCTGGCACTGTGTGCTCTTAGCCTGTGGATGCTGAGGGCCTCAGAGCATGGTGGCGGTGGCACATGTTACCATTGCCCTCCCATTAGGAGGCTGATGCCACGCAGGATGTCCTGATACCTAGCCTGGCCCTGGCTGCAGCTCATGCTGGTGACCTAGATACTCTGCAGGCTTTTGTGGAGCTGGTGAGTCGTCCCCCTGAGGGTGGGACACTGCTCACATGGGTAGAACAGCGAGTGCCAGGGCCTCACTGACTCTCCTGAGCCACACTGGGCAGTGGGCTTGCATGCTAGCCCGAGGGCCTCGCTGGAAGTGGGTGGGCGGATCTACAAACCCCACTTCCATCCTTCCCCATTCTCTGTGTGGCCCACCTGACCTTGCCTAGCCTCCCTCCCCCGCCCCTTTTTGAGGTTGTGTGCCCTTATGTCACCCTAGGGCAGAGACCTAAACCTGAAGGACTGTAGCGGTCAAACCCCACTGCATGTCGCTGCACGGAGGGGCCATGCTGCTGTGGTCAGCACGCTGCTACAGAAGGGCGTGGACGTGAATGCCCGTAACGAAGATGGCCACAGCCCGCTACTGCTGGCCGTGAGGGGCAGGTGCGAAGGGGCTGGGTGCTGCCGGTGCTCTGTGGGCCGGGTAGTTGGAGAGAGGTTGCTTGTTAGGACCGGTGAGGGGAGGCCTGTTTCTGTGGGGCAATCTGGAAGGGCCTCATGGAGGAGGTGGCCTCAGAAGATGCTGGCAGCATCTTGGAAAGGAGGAATACCACTGAAAAGTATGCGGAGCTCCTGGTGACCCCACGCTTCCATGTGTACCAAGATCTGGCAGAGAAAGCTAGCAGAGGTGCTATGACAGGTACAGGTGTCCTGCGGGGAGGATCCCCGACTGGCCCTCACCCCACATGGAAGAATAATCCTGCATGACTGGTAACGCTGCCCACTTACCCACTTAGTTCTGCCTGGCAGTCTCAGGGAGGACAAGCCCTGCCCTGGAAATGCTAAGATGGTGGGAGTTGGGCGTTACCCAACACTCTGTGAGGGAAGAGAGATGGGGCCCTGTGGGCGCCCTGGTGCCTGCCAGCTACTCCACTCCCATCTCATGCAGGAAGGTTAAGCCACACTGTGTGACCCAGCTGGTGTCCCTGCCCATGTTAGGCACTTCCTCCTTTGACCTCTCCTGCCAGTACACACGAAGGCAGCTTGGCTTGGCGTGGCGGCAGTGGGACAGACCTTCCTGGCTTTCTCAAAACCACACGCAGCCTGCAGACCCTGGGATGCTGGGGGGAGGGGTCTCTGTGAGCTGCTCAGGGTATCAGATGGCAGCATCCAGTCCTGGTCCCTGGGTGGTGAGACCCCAGAGTGGGGGTGTGAGGCTGAGCCTTTTTTTCAGAACAGGTCTGGCAGGCTCAGTGTCTCAGCCCTACTGAATCCCCTGCCCCAGCAGACAGCACCCCTCCAGCTTTGGTTCTGCTTGATTGCTTAGGAAATGGCTCAGGGCCCAGCTAGACCCCACTGTTCATGTTTGTCTGCCATAACTCATTCCCACCCTGTATCCAAGGGCGGAGTTGGGGCATAGCTCACTTGGTTTTCCCAGAGCCTATCCTGGGCCTAACCAGAGAGGTCACTTCAGGTGTGTGACACAGTGGAGGCTGACTGGCTAACTGGGGTGCTGTTCCCAGCTGGGCAGGGAGACCACCTGGGGTGTGCAATTTGTATAGGAGCTGTTCGGCTAGCTGACTAGCACCTTGTGACTGGGGACAGCCTCTGGCCCCGGACATCCTCTGATGGTGCCTTGGATGAACTGCCCTTGAGCTGTCACCCTAGTATGGGCAAAGAACCAGTGGACAGTCTTGTCTGGAACTAGGCTGTGGGTGTCTGGGTGGGCATTTCCTGGTTGTGCTCTCCCCACCCCTACCCCCACCCCTACCCCAACCCCCAGGGCTGAATGAGGCCAGCAGGGTCTAGGCCACACTGACCACTGGCATTTTTTCATGCAGGCATCAGGGTGTCATTGGGCTGCTGCGGGCCGCTGGGGCTTGCCTGTCTGCCCAGGAGCTGGAGGACATTGGGACAGAACTGTGCAGGTGATGGTCTGAGCACCTCTATCTATGGGTGATGGCCTCAGGATCCAGGAAGGCAGTGGGATTGCTGGGAGGGTCAGGTCAGCCAAGTGGGGCTGAGGAGGGAGACCCCACACTTAGGTGGCCTCGCTGACAGAAGTACCCCTTTCCAACCCAGTTACAGGAATACCTAGCCGAACAATAAGCAAGGGTATACCTGTGTTGTAGGCTTGGTTGGCATAAGGGAAAGAGAAGAGCAGATCTGGGCTATGGCCATGGGTGATAGCTGGGAGTGGGTGCTGTCACCAGTGTGTCCATCCTGCCCAGGGTACGGATAATTGTCGTGAGACTTCAGGGTGATTTGTTGGGACAGCCTCAGTCTACCAGCCCCGGTCTCAGGACCCTACACTGGTCTGCAGTATCCTAGGAGAAAAGTGATGTTTACTGAACCACTCCCCCTAAGATGGAGGGATAGGGTGGCTCACAGAGGCAATGGGTTGAGGGCTGGAGGGCCCGAGAGGATGGATTCTGGCCTTGGCTAGCATTGAAAGGCCTCCTGGGGTAGTTTGGTTCAGGACTGCACCAGGCAGACCTGTCAGCTCCAGTGAAATACGGGGAAACTGAGGCAGCACTCAGGCAGCTGGGTCTAGAGCCAGCCACCCTGGAGGACTCCTGCTTTACTGGGGCTGGGCTAAACTGAGGTGCTGGCTGGGCTGAGGTGTGGGGAACCAGTGTCGGTAAATGGGGAGGGCTGCAGGTGCTCCCAGCATGATCCACCCCAGAAATTATATATATAGTGCCACCTGGGGTCTGTGGCTTCTTGGACAGAAAGGAATCATGGGGCCATTTGGGTCTCTTCTACCCCCCAGCTTACCCAGGGTGGGTCCTGGCTCTCCGAGTGGAAATACAGAGCATGGGAGAGTGAAGACATTGTCCAAGGACAAGGCTGTCCACCACAACCTTCCACTATAGGGAAAGTAACCCCTGTAGTTTTTCCCCAACCAGGATGCTCTGCAGCCTACTGGGGTCCACAGCCACCTTGGACCCTACACCTCCTGGACTCCCTTCTATACCTACCGGCTGTCTGTATTTCCTTCTGTCTTGAGATAAGCCAGACACATCACAAAGTCTGTGTTGTGAAATATGAAACAGGCGAGGGGTGGGTATGTACATGCTCACAGATGCACGTGTGTGTGTGTGTGTGTGTGTGTGTGTGTGTGTGTGTGTTTTCGTGCCCTTGACCTGAGTCACAGTCATACTCCATAGGTGAAACCAGACTCCAGGCCGCCTGCGGCTGGGACTCCTGCCCCAGGGCTGGGTGCTGCTGGATCAGCTGTTTAGGGCCGTCTTTGTAAGAGTACCCAGGGCACTGGGAGGGGCACACATAGAAAAGGTAGGCGGCTGAGGGGCCCAGCAGGTTCTGACAGCTTCCCTCTGCCCACTCTCCACCCCCAGGCTGGCATCCAGGGCGGATAGTGAAGGCCTGAGGGCGTGGTGGGAGGCAGGAGCTGACCTGGGACAGCTGGACTATTATGGACACTGTGCCCTGCAAGTAGTGAGTACCTTCCTCTTGTACCCTATTCTGAGGCCTCCTTGAGATCCTCAGCTCCTGTCCCAGATCCTGGTCCAGGAGCTGCCCATCCCTCCTAGGGAGTACTTTCCTCAGAATCAGCCCAACCCAAGGGGTGTGTCCTATCAGTCCCCAGGGTGGGGGTGGGGTGTCAGTCCCGGTGGGCGGGGCTTTGGGGCTTCTGGGTTCTGCAGTCCAAGCAGACCCACAGATCTCTCTCCCCTACAGGCCGAAGCAACTGGGAATGCTGATGTGGTGACCCTGCTACAGAGCTTGAAGGACAGGCCCAATGCCCAGCCCCAGGCCCACTGAGTCCTGGGCCGGGCCAGTGTCTCCCAGTGAACTCCCATTGGTTTGAAGCTGGATCCTGGCACCTAGTATTCCAGAGCCGGCTCTGCAGACAGCCTGAGGAGGTGGAGGAGCATTGTCCAGAGCCTTTCGTGGGGTTCTGGGAGGAGCAGTCTGTTGGAGATACAAGCTGCTGGGACTTCATCGGGGAGGCCACCTCATACCTTCAACCTGTTCAGTCTTGAGCTGGGTGACCAGGAGTGCCTGGGCTTCCCAGCTGACAGGGATCCCCATTGCATTCTTTTGTGGCTCTGGAGTTTTGAGACTGGCTGGGCTACCCCCACTTCCCGGGAATGGTTGGACTCCAAATATACAGAGCACCTGAGGTGGGGTGGAGGAGCCCCGCCCCTGGACACATTCTCTGTACATAGTCCTCCGTGCATCCTCAGTAGACCCTGTTTCTAGGAAGTCGTCCTTGGTTCTCAACCTGCCATCCTGTGGCAGTGCGAGGTGTTCCTTACTGCCAGAGGGACCTCAGGCACACACCAGCCATGTCTGCTGAACGGCTTCCTAGCCTGATGGTGTGAAAAAATCGGGAGGTCTCTGTTGAGCAGAATGTCAATAAAATTGTGGGGATGGCTGCTGCTTGGCCTGGCTAGGGCTCTGTGTGGACTGTGACGGTGTGGGCATGCGGGGAGAAGGCCCCAGGCTGTGGGACAGACAGTAGTCCACTTAAGCAATCATCCTGAGGCTGGCCAGGCATGGTAGGAGAGGGTGATGTGGGGACAGCCTGAGTAAGCCCTGTCCCACTCCTGTCCCCTCGGGCAGCTGCTTCCCCAGTCTACATGTCCTGATTCTTCTCATCTGGGGCTAAGTCACCTCTTCAGGCAGCCAGGAGCTGAAGGGGAATGACAGGAAACCTCGGCATTCTGGCAGATAGCCCCTAGGCACGGGGCATTTCCAGCTCCCGTCTGTGTCCTGGGCCGCCTACGGCCAAGGTGAGGCTCCTGGGTGGGCAAGCAGGCATCCTGATACAGGTTGGCAGCTGCAGGTCTTGGTTGAGGCACAGTGGGACTCACTTTAGGAAGTCCAAACACAGTCCAAACTTTAAACATCTAGCTAGGACAGGGCCCACCCCAGGCTAATTCCTCCGGTATGAGACACTAGCCACCTATTCTGACACATGCAGTCCTCACCCTTCCTCGCTGGAAGCAAGGAGCTGCCCTGAACCTCAGGTCCCTCTCTCTACCTTGTGCCCACACGAGAATGCTCATTTGTCCTTTGGGCTCCTAGATAGGAAAGCACCCAGGCTCCCATGAACATGTGCGCCCTGAGGACAGCGGGCAAGTGGGACCCCAAGAGCTGGCCCTTGGCATTTGGGTGAGCCAGGCTGAGGCTCCCCTGCCCACGCCTTAGGCTCCTCAGCCTGGTTCCCAGGCCTCAGCAGACGCTGCCCTGGCAGCCTCCCAGCTCCTCACCCAGACAGGTGTGCTCAGAGCTTGCACAACCTGGTAACACCACATGAACACAGCAGGGCCCAGAAGCCTTTGCCCCACACCTCAGTGAATCCCTGATGAGTGGGTGGGGAGGGGCCACAGGGCATGAGCGTCGAGTCCTGATATCACCTGTGGGCAGAGACTTCCAGGGTCCATGGCAGGGTGGCGAGGCCGTCAGACCTGCGCCTGAGGAAGGTATGGAACATGAGATCAGTCTACAAAGAGCAGGCCCTCACTTTTCTCTCTGGGAGAGACATGGCTTTAGGGTACACCATACTCAGTAGATTGTGCAAGCCTATGTTCCCTTCCCCCATTCTGCTGGACCCCCCCACCCCCACCCCCAGCAGGTGCTGACCTGCCAGCTGGGGAAGCCCTGAATGAGCTTTTCTCCAGGTTGGTCACACAGGTTCTGCAGAGGTGGGGTAACAAGAGTCAGGGGGCTTCAGGAGTCGGGCAGGTAGGTGATAGGGACTCCTACGAGGGCTGCCAGCCAGACCTGGTTTCAGAGGCCTCTCCTCAACGATGAAGGAGTTCAGCCTCCCATCAGACAGACCCTGGGCTGGCTTCCCAGGCACTGACTGTCCAGAAGCCACAGGAGGAAGGCAGATACTCCATGAGTACGTTCCTCTCACAGGGTAATGGATAAGTTGCTTAGACAGAGGCCACGATCCATGTGTGAGGTGCTCACCATGTTCCTACCAGGCCCCTAAGAAGAAAGAGCACTGGGTCACCCTTCCATCTTCCAGATGAGTAAGGGACGGAGCTGCTCCAGGAACACCGGGGTCTCATGTCAGCAGCTGCAGAGCTGAGGTGACCCTGACTGCCCTAAGACCAGACTTCTGTTTGGATAAGGTGTGGAACTCTGTGGCCCTCCGAGTGAGTGGGAGGAGGGCAGAGCCCTGCCCCCCGCAGGCCGGGCTCACTGCTGTTTTCCACACTGGTAATTTCCCTCTAGGGAGGCTTCAACTCCTCTGAGGCCAGGTTATCTCTAGGGAACATCTCCTTTTCATCACACCCTCTGTTTTCCCAGCATTTTCTATTCTATAATCAGACTCCCCAGTTGAGAGCCCTCCAGGCCACCCCCACCCCTCTCATCATATATGGGTGATGTCTTACAAGGCTCATTTCCTGTTGTAAGAGAGCCATAGGGGCCTGTAGTTGTCACCTGCCTCCCCAAAGTCCCCTCTGAGCCATAGTGCCCACCTTTGTTGAGGGAAGGGGGCCCACTCAGGCTAGGTTACTTGTGAAGGATTCTTCTTTGTGTCGTTGTCGTCCCCCACTCGCCCCCGCGCGTCTTGCTATCCCGGGGGGGGGGCGGTTCTGGCTGAGAACAGGAGATAACTTCCTTCTAAGTGTGTGTACCTGGTGAGGTGACTCTTGCATGTCTTAGTCATTCCCCTTAGTCCTCCAGGCCGGTCCCAATGACTCCACACTCAGTCAGACTCACAGACTGCCGAGGGCTGAGGAACCTAGTCACTGCTGCTCTCTGAGGCTGTTTACCCAGTTGCAAAATGAAACCCCCAAACCTTCCCTGTTCGCCCTACAGGCTGAATGCAAAAGTTAAACGACAGGGCATCACTGAAAAGTCTCGGGAGTCCCTCACAGCCCAGTGGCTGCCTCCTGACTGGGCCCAGTGACATCCGGAGGACTCTGGTGTCCCCTGAGCTGGTCATGGATAAATTATGACAACCTCCTGCTGGTCCTCAGAGACTTGAGTTTTGAGGGAAGGAATGGGACCGCCACCTCCAATCGCTCTCCATTTCCTATAGCACTGTCCCTACAGCGGGCTGCACCGGGATGGAACCCTTCTGGGCTCAGCGACTAAGCAGGCAGGGCGCGGAGCGCACGGGGCCCTTTGGGCTAGGGACAAGATCCCTGGCGGCTGGCGGAAGGACCCAGACTAGGCTC